GGCGTGCGGATCGCATTTTTTCGACAATAATCCACATAAAAACAATATTAAAAATACAAGTAATGCATCACAGTGGCATTACTTTCGCCAAATCGACAGGAATCCCGCCACCTATAATGTAAACATTTGGTGTCAAATAGCTTTTTCAATATGTCAGTATAAAAATAAAATAGAATTTCTGTAATATTAACTTTGACTGTTTGTTTCTAAGAATATTAATAATTGTAAATAAAAGTAAATTATAGCAATAAAAAAACTTCAATTCACAATAATCCACTTAATAGAAAAAAAATATTATAAAAGAAATGACAACATTACAGTAATACATCACAGTGGCATTACTTCCGCCAAATCGACAGGAAGCCCGCCACATATAATATAAACATTTAGCTTTTTCGATATGTCAGTATAAAAATAAAATAGAATTTCTGCAACATTAATTTTGACTCTTTGTTTCTAAGAATATTAATAATTGTAAATGGAACACTAATGGAAGTTGTGTGATTTGTTAGCTGATTTCTGATAGATTGGATTCCAAGAACTTCGAGTCGATGTATAAGGCAGAGATGTAAACAACCGAACGGTCGACAATATTAAATTCCTGGTATAAACTCCAAAAGTGGAACAGCTCAAAGAAAATTTTTTCATTCAAGGTATGTATATTTATGTTTCTTCAAATTCTCTAAACTAAAAGCGAAGAACAATGATGTTTTAAGCGAGTTTATTTCAAGGGGTTTTTAGTCATGCAATCGGACCATTTGCATTATAGACTAAATTTTGATCTAAACAAAAATTTCATCACAGCTTGAAAGAGCATCACAAAATTAGTAATATTCCAAAATTTCGTTGCGAAATGTTGTAAAATGCGGATAATATAGCCCTGCGAAATTTGCAATTTTCAGTCATTTTAGATTACAAACGGGAAATTGACAGCCCGATATATACACCTTGAGGCTGTCAATTTCCCGTTTGTAATCTAAAATGACTGAAAATTACAAATTTCGCAAGGCTATATTATCCGCATTTTACAACATTTCGCAACAAAATTTTGGAATATTACTAATTTTGTGATGCTCTTTCAAGCTGTGATGAAATTTTTGTCTAGACTTGTTGAGATCAAACTTTAGTCTATTACGCAAATGGTCAATTGCCAAACAGTGATATTTGCATATTTAATGAACCAAAGTTAACTCTTTCTCGTAACGCGTGAATTTATTTGCCCAAAATAAATTATACATTTCTGAGAAGAGCAGTTTTCCAATAGTGCTTGTGCAAAATCTCATCAGATTTGAAAGGATGGCAAATGGAGAAATCTGTCACTTTTTACACGCAATGACAAACAATAAAGATCAGTACCCGTTGCTCTTTATTGTGCACAAATGTGTTCAGTTGTTCAATTATCATAAAACCACTTTTAATAAACGAGGGAGTGATGTATCTTTAGCAGAAAGTATAATAAGGCTATTTGGATTTAGGGTTTGGATACCAGGATTAAGTAAACATACGCAATTTCGGCCATTTTTCGGTTGCGAAAAATGGCCGAAATCGGTCCTCACAGCTGAAATATTTTTTGGCCTTTTTTTCATAAACAAAAGAGTATTTTTAAAAACTAACCATATGACGTTTCATACTTTGTCATAGCGAATTTAAAATTTTGAGCCTTGCCGTGGTATGTTTGATTTTTGTAGAGACTTGCTCTTAATTATTAATGAGTTTGAGAATAACATTTTAAGCTGTATGAACAAAAGAAATGCTTCTACATATATAGATACTGTAACTCACTGTACATGCACTCTCTCTATTTGTAGGTGCGGTGGATAACATGGAGGAGAATAAAATGTCCAAAACAAGTGATAAAATGCCACAAATGAGTGGTGAAGTACCAGAAACAAATGGTGAATTGGCAGAAACAAGTGGTGAAGTACCAGAAACAAGTGATGCACTACCAGAAACAAGTGGTGAATTGGCAGAAACAAGTGGTGAAGTGCCGGGAACAAGTACCAATGTTACGAAAAAGTGTAAAGCAAGAGCTAAGCACATGTGCCCATTTCCGTCCTGCAAATCCTCTGTTGTCCATCTACCTCGTCATATGATGCTTTCTCATGGCTGAAGTAAGGAGGATGCACGTAATGTATTAAGCATATTTTTATTACGAAAAGAATGGGTAAAGCCATCAAAGCGTCAGCAGCATTCTAAAAACATTCAATGCCCAGTCCCAGAATGTAAATCTGTGGTAAAGAGAATCCATAACCACCTATACGATGTCCACAAATTCAAACCTGGTAGTGAAATATATAAAAAATGCCTATCCCTTGCTGAACCATTTGAAGTGATTACCATATCATCTGAATCCTCTATGTCTGTTGATTCAACCTCGTCAGAAAGCGTTGATGAAAGTGCATGGAAGAAAATGAATAAGAATACCAAGAAAAGCAAAAAACAAAGTTTTACATCAAGGGATGTATACCCCAGCAGTAGCAGCGAGGAATCAAGTGTACATAGTGGTAACTATAAGGGCTCAAAGTCAAACAGTCTTAACTTGCAAACAGTCTTATCCAATAGCATCTATGTATAAAAAGGAATCCGAAAGCTATACTAGTAAAAGTAAGAAGAAGGAAAGAACCCAACAACATCCATCCATCTTCAAAAATGATTCTGAAAGCGATGATCCAGAAAGTCATGAAAGTCATGAATATGTTCCATCACCTTTACCAGGTGCACACACAGGGAATGAAGACAGCCGAAGTGAAAGTGGATCAGATAGTGAAGCCGCGCTTTCAGACTTTTATAATGAAGCCGAGGACTCTCAGGATGATCAGCCACCTGTACCACAATTAACAATGAACTTTTTCAAAAATTTACTGCATGGTTGCAGGGTCCAGATGGTGGTCGAAAAAATATGAAGTGTTCTCTCCAATGTTCGAGGCAAGTACAATTGGTTGCCGCAGCAATAAATCCTGAGTCTCCCAAAGTTTCAGATCTGTTTGACCGGAAGATATTAAGGGATTCCTGGTTAACCAAATTTGAGAAAGAAAAACAACCAGAAACTGTCAAATCATACCTTGGATCCCTCAATTTATTTTTTACGTTCTCAAAATGTGAACAGCTTGGTCAACAGTATGGTGTTGCACATGACCAACTTGGTGTCCTTTCTGACCAAATGAGACAATGGAACAAATCATACCGTAATCTAGTGAAACACAGATTTTGGGTTAAGAGAATGGAGGACCTGGCAAACCTCAAAACCCCCCCAACATGTCCAAGAGTTTGATAGGTCATAATTGTCAAGGGATGCTGTTCGAATCATTGGAGAGAGCCAGGATGAAAAAAAAAGATAACGGTCCAACACATCAAGAGTACACATCTGTAAGAGACTACCTACTTACCATTATCTGCATTAACAATGGGAGTAGGTCAGGTTCACTTGCAAACATGACCCTTGAAGAGTTTCAAAATGCTCATCAAGATGGAGATGACTATGTAGTGAAGGTAAAGAAACATAAAACATTTACAACTCATGGACCAGCTCACATTGTCATGCCTACTGCAATTTACATGTGGCTTGGCATATTCGTAAGCAACTTTAGAAACAAACTTGGTGAAGTAGACAAAGGGGACAATGCTCCTGTTTTTCTATCTTGGAATCTCCACCCAGTGAACTCATCCCACATTGGTAAGCAAATGGGCTCTTGCTGGGGCAAAGTTTTTGGAAAGGAAGCATCTGGTGGTGGAGCAACTGCATTTCGTAAGGCAGCAGTTTCAGCGGTACAGGAACATGATGAAGAAGCAAGAGGAAACCTGGCAAGTCTAATGGACCATTGTAAAGAGACAGCCGATAAATTTTACATGCTCCAACAGAAGTCAAAGCAAGCCACTGTTGCAGCACGCAGTCTCATGCGAATTATGCACTCCAGGAAATGCAATGAAACACAGGCAGCAGCTACTCCACACCGATGGACTGCCGAACAAGAAAAAGTTTTAAGTGATGTTTTTGCAGAGGAGATCAAGGAACAAAATATCACACTCCAAAAAGTAGAACAGCTCATCAAGGATCACCCTGTCCTCAAGGATTTCTCAGCCACAAAAATCCGTGATAAGGTCAGGTACATGTACAATGATATTGTTCCTAGTGCTATGGTGCCTCCACAAGAAGAAGAAACATCAGGAGATCGATTAGCACGTTTGGGGATTCTAGCGAATGATATTGGCAAAGCCAGCTCTACAAACCCTAAGAGGAAGCGGAATGCTAAGACTGCAAGTTGTGACTCAGAATATACTCCCAGTTTGTTTTCTGCAACAAAAACATCAACTTCAGATAGAGCTGGAAAATTGTTTGATGAGAAATCAACTGAAGACTTCAAAAAGATCTTTTCTGATCTTATTACAACACATAAACCAATAAAAAAGGCAGTTGTTATGGAGATAATGAAAAATTCCAGTTTAAAACATTTGGCAAAAAACTTTACACAACTGCAAATAGTTGATAAAGTTCGAACAGAAAAAAAGAAGTTTCAACAGGGAAATACAAAATAATGAGAAACATTTATCGGCATCAGGTTTATCTTGAACATTAGCATACAGACTATACAGTATACAACAAGGGCAGATTTCGTTTTAAGCCCATCGATATTTCGCGTTCTGTGTCGAAATTTAAAAAGTCCCACGACAAAATTCAAGATATATGTATTTTCTATAAGAACCTTTCGGTTTCAGATAAAAAAAAGTTAATATTGTAGCTCACAGAAGCCTGAGATTGCGATAATATTTTCTCGCTCTTTCTGTTCACGTTTTTAAATTTTAAGCATTCTGATTGGTCAAGAGCGAAATGTAAACAAACACGCAGATGGGCTTAAAACGAAATCTGCCCTTGTTGTAGTATTATTACTGTACCTGAGCTATTCAAAGGGCTATGGCAATAAAAAATTTTAAATTTTGATTTTCAGTTTCGCAACCTTGCAAGGATTAATTAGCGGGTATGGAAACATGCAAACATTGACACTTGTGCATCTACACGTATATAAATCACATAATATATATACACAAAACAATATATATTACGTATGTATACAGTGACTCCTCTCATTTGTTATCTTGTTCCAAAAGCAACTTCGACCAGTGCAGCCTTTTTTTTCATTGAATCAATGCTTGGTTATATTTTAGCAATCTCTTTACTTCTGTAATTTTATTGCCATATTCTTTTGACACTAATTGATAATTTTTTTGTGGATGTTACCCAATAACAGGATACATAATTGGTCTAGGAAAAGGGTTACAATTAAGGGTTGTAATTTTGATTGCATGCACAAAACAACTTCAAATGAACAGCATTACCAATTTAATTTATAAGCACTGAGCACTAACCATGCACTGTGTAAACCTTAACTTTAAAGGTAATTTGAAGATTTCTGCCAGTACTGTATGCAGAAACAATAATGGAGGGTCAATAATGCAAGTGCGTAAAATAGGTAATCTGTAATTTTCACCAGAGACAATATTGCACAACGTTTTAGATAGCTCTTTGTTCAGTTATATGTCAAAAACATTTTTGACCTGTAGGATAGTTAATTATTTGTAATTGCCAATTTTGGCCTCATTGCCACCTAATCGATATTAAAAGGGGCCCTCTCAACCTTTACATCATCGTGTTTAAAGCGACATAATAAATGCAAAATACGGTAATTATTTCAGGCTTGTTTATGTTTCACTTCCAACATTTAAAGGCATGATCAATAAACATTACCGTACACACAAAATATAAAATCGATATCATATTTATCAACTGATTCAAGCAATATAGCAGATTGGCACACAGTATCTCAGGCTGAGAGGGCCCCTTTAAGTGAGATCATAGCACTTCATACTGTCTAGATTAATAGATAGTATACTGTAAACATAATTTTATGCCCTAACAGTTTGTTGTATGTGGGCTAATTATGTAAAATTTTTAAATTGTTAATGCTTTTAAAGTTGAAATTTAAAAGATTTTTGTTACGTACAAGTTTCATAGTATTGTTGTTTCAATCAGAGTATCAAACAATCAGAATACAATACTCATCTATAATAACATATTATCTTTGTCGGGGCCATGGGAATCTGGGAGAGCTTTAGTCCCATAGAGATTATAAATAATACTAAAGGGGGCATCGTAATCTTTATTTCAGTAAAAAAAGGGAACATGCTATAAATGGGGGGCAAATTCAAGTCCTGGATGCAGGAACCCATACAGGAGACTGTGCAATTTGCATCCAGGATTATGATTAGCTGCGTTCCCAATTTCCCCCCAATGCCCCCTCTAGTGTTATTTATAATCTCTATGTTTAGCCCTGCTGTTTTTGGTGGGGGCTAAATTATGCGCTGGTTGTGCCAGACACTACTTATTATAGTCATGCTTACTAGTTGCTGTAGTGGGGTTGTACCAGATACTACCATACTTCACAGGTTTACCGGATAGTGGTCTGTCAAATACTGGAATGGGTTATGATACCAGTCCAAATAAATATGAATACCACCTATATATATATTCATGAATTGAACAGTAAACATGATCTGGTACTTTGAAAATAAAACAAAGGCCGGCCCAATCAAGGGAGACCATAATACCACCAGATACTGTAGTATATTAATTTGTCTCAAATAAAAGTTCAGTTTCATTGCAGCAACAAATTCAATGTCCTCCTTATTCAGTTAACCCATTGAGTGGCAACACTCTCCCCCTGACAATTATGTAAAACAGGGTTCATACATGTTAAGAAGAGTCAAATTCAAGGCCATGTATCAACAATTCCAAGGACTAAATACTGACAAAAGGGGTTAGAAATCAGTACAATCTGACGTTAAATTGTTCAAAATGCAACTTTAATGAGTTTCAAACAGCTTTGTCGGAAATAAATATACAAAATCAATTCAATAAAATGTCCATTCTGAATGTCAAACAATTTCAGAAAATATCCAAAAACTAAAGCCAGAAAAATTCAAGGACATTCAAGGACATTCAAGTTTTGTACGAACCCTGGTAAAATCATCTGGCATTAGATAGAGTGAAGGAATAAAGTAGGGCACATCCTGGCGCATTGTCACTTAAAGGGTTAATGACAGATAATTTTATCCCATATCTAAGGGCCTGTTCATATGGGCAAAAGTTTCCCCGGTTAGCGGGAAAACTTTTCGACAAGTTTACAAGCGAGATCTCGCCTTGTTATGTAAATAATATGAAAAGTTACACTGCGTTCATATGAGACGAAAAGTTTCCCCGGTCACCGAGATCTCGCCTGTTGATAGGCGAGATCTCGGTGACCGGGAAATTGTTTTTCCCATATGAACACAACTTTCCCCCTTAGCGGGATAATTTTCTGTTGTGTCAGCAACTTTTCAATTCAATTGATGTTCAGTGCTACGTCACAGCCGGAAACTTTTCCCGGTAAGCGGGATAACTTTTCTCCATATGAACAGAACAAAATTATTTGGCTAGTCAAAATGTTTTCCCACTAACCAGGAAAAACTTTGCCCATATGAACAGGCCCTAATGCATGGTTCAATTCTTCCTGTTAGCACCACTGATCTAGAAATACTTAGTTGGCAACAAGTTTAACCCATTGAGTTGCATTGTGCCCTGTTTTGCCCTACTTTATTATTTTACTCTGTCTAGCACCAGACAATTTTACTCATCAAAGGGAGAGTGCCAGTGCTTAATGAGTTAACTGGCCTATCTGCCCACATGTCTAGTCAACCCACTGAGTCGCATTGCGCCCTTGTCGGAGGCTCCCCTATATGGCCGGAGGCTCCCCTAATGCTGGGCAGTGTTGGAACTGCATTGTTGTTGGAGAAATATAACCCGAGCTAATATTTTGTAGCCATGACGCCCCTGCACAAAAGTAAAAATTATATGAAAACAACATGATAAATATTCATTTAGTGACCATTACATCTTCAGTAGCTAGATCTAAATCAAGCTTCACCAACATCATCACAGTCCATGCATCATCATAACATAATTCACTACAATCATCAGTATCCACACCATTCCAATTCTATCAGTCACATTGAATCGAAATTTCATTTCATTTCACTACATACACCATTTGATGTTCACCCAATAGAATGTCCCAACAGGTCAGCAGGGCCATTTCACAACATTCCAGGATCTGAATACTTGCAACCACCTTTTTGATGCAATTCTAAAAGAAAAAAGAACAAATATTTCTTTAGTATATTATAGTTTATATAAATTTTGTTATTTTTGTGCCACGTTTATATGATTACAATTCACATATTTGTCCAAACATGATCTATTCTAAACCTACAATTCTAACTCAGCCATAATAAACAAAATGTGTCCAGCAAGTTGTAAAACAAGTGACTCGCTAATATTAGAAACAACTGACAAGTTCAAAGTTGTAGTTTTAGAATAGATCATGTATGAACAAATATGTGAATTGAAATCATACAAACGTGCCACAAGAATAACAAAATTTATATAAACTATAATATACAAACGAATATAAAATATAAAACAAAAACCGAAAAATGAAAACATTTTGAAACCCAAGATATGGACTAACACAAGATGTAAGATAAATGGTTATATTTCGATCCTATTTCAGAATCAACATCAGACCAACTGATTTACAAATAAGTAAAAAATTTTAAAAAAACCTATTTACAAATAAATAAATAAATAAATAAACCTATTTACAAATAAGTAAATAGGTTTCAAGATGTTTTCATTTTTCGGTTTTTGTTTTATATTTTATTTTCTAAAATTGTCGGCTGGTTCTGGCTAGCCTGCGTGCAGCCTGACTTTTTGATGGGGAAGGGGGAAAAGTCAGTCTGCAAATCAGGGAACAATACCATGTTCGCGCTCTTTTGAATTGCATGGATTTATGTATTCAAACGTGATTGGCTATTGCTCAGAAGCTTAATACACGTGCTACGATTGGCCAATTCGTTAATATATTCAGTTCAACAACAACATTCCAGAATTAAAAAATGGCGTACGTAAGCTCGAAGGCCAATGTTGCATGTAATTTATGCACGAATGCCAGACAAGAGATGTATGAAAGGGTTCTCATTAATACAGGGAAAAAAGAATTTGACGTTGCTGCCGAGATCCAGTCACTTCCTTTCAGTGTTGTGATTTACAGCAAATACGCTTGCAGGGCTTGTGTCCAAAAGTTGAAGAAACGTCGGGCAATTCTCACAACCTTAAATGATATTGAAGGTTTTTTCAGGAATTCAGCGTACAAAAGATCAGCAGATTTAGCAACTATCGAAGATCAAGAACCTACGGCTACAGTATCAAAGAGGATTTGTGATGAAGCAACTGAGGTTTCACGTCGAACATCATCGCCAATTCGCTCCAGTACAGGTGACATTGCAAATACAAATATCATAACATGGCCAGTCTCACCAGTTCTACAGAAGCGTGTTAGTATTAATGAAACCAGCAGTGAGAGTTTGGTTACAACGAAAACAGAAGTTCGTGTGAAGGTATTGTTTTTAATTTTTTTTTAATATTGTTTAATTAAATACTAAAATACATGTTATGTAAATAATTCAGGCATCAGGCTGCAAAGTACTTTATTAAATAATATATCTATCTATTTATTAAGGTAATGTGGCCATCTAAAAGTGTCGAGAAAAAGCTACCTGAGGATTTTGACTCCTTGGCAAAGATGTTGGTAAGAGGAACGTATAAACAGATTGCTACTGCTGCTTGGAAAAATGAAAAATTGAGGAAAGAATTCATACAGCTAATGGAAAAGGAAATCAACAGAGAATGCACACAACTATGTTCGAAGAAAAATCCCAGCATTTTGAGGATGACCAGTAAAGAGAGCATTTTAACTCTTACATTTGAGAAACTTTCTGGCAAACTTAGTAAGAGAGCACCCCTGTTTCATTCGTTGTTAGTTGCTGCTTGTACCAACCCAAGAAGTAAAGCAACAGAACCTCAAAATGAATTTGCATCAGTGGCTATGGCAGGAGCTGTTTGTCTTCGCAGTCGGTCAAAGTTCATGATAGCTGCCCAACTATTGATAACCATCTTTTTGTATCATGCAAATTGGTTGGTAAGTCATTATTTATTGTTATATCCCACCAATTTTCTTCGTCTAAATAGGATGGTTTTGCTTATCAATTGGAACCCTTGGCAGTGGCGTCATGGCGACGGGGGTGGCGGGTGCATGGCCCATTTTTTCAAGGGGGTGCCGAAATCCAGTTGGAGTGCCAAAATTGCCAAGAAGGATTAGTATTTAATTCTAAAATTTAAGTTTCTCAATTAAAATTCCTACATGACATGTGACATGACCGTATTACATTCTTGTTGTTTGTTTACGGTTTTTGTTTAAAATACAGCTTTGTTAGAATACATTTTTGTTAGAAATTTGATGCTCAAAATGGAGGAAATGGCACTTTCAGGCTTCAAATTTCAGAAAGTTGCTGGGGAGCATGCTCCCTAGTTGTACAAGAGCCAATTTTTTTTTCAGGGGGGGGGAGGCACCAGTGTCAAAATAACTGTGGGACATCAAATTTAACACTGCGCCCTGCCCCCCCTTGAGATTTTGAAGCCACCACACCACTCACCCTTGATAATTAATGGTTATAAACCACAATATCTGCTCAGGACTCATATACATATAAAACTATTAAAGAGCCGGTCAAGTCCGTTCTGAGCTAATTGCATCCTTCTTTATTGGTATTAATTAATAGTTTAATAATTTTCTAGTTTCTAATAGGCAAAGCATACATTTACTAGTTTTGCATAATCTACACACCCATTGTCTCATTAATGTTTGTGGCTGTTCAGAAATATTGGTCAATTTTTGACATCCCTACCCACCCCCACATAAGAATTATGTGATGCACTCCCAAAAAATTATTATTAAGGTTAATTTGAAAGTGTGCTGGAACAGCATGGGTGAATTTGCAGCATATATATTAAATATATATTACTTGTATATTACAGTATTTCTCTTACTTTAATTATAGGCTATGTTGGCACGATTGTATCCATTGAGGCTAGTAACCAGCCACACCTTTCTATACAAGAAACTCGATGAATATGGAGCTGATCATGATAAGGAAGTTCTGGACAGAGTTGCTGCACAGGGGTCAACTACTGGCACAAAATCACTGTAAGAACCCAACTGAAGAAAATCCTGAGGCAGATCCATTAGCTCAAGCTGTTGTTACACCTGATTCTGGCAGAAAAATTGTGTTTGACAATATCGATTACAACCAGAAAGTTCACTACATGACCGAACAACACCAGAATGTTGACCATTATTATGTAACATACATGAGTGTAGAGAACCGTGTATCAGGGAACCATTTAAGTGATGAACTTCCAACAGGTGGAGTTATGAAAATGGAGAATGGAAAATGCATTCCTAGTTCAGCTGATAATGTAAAGCAAAGGACAAATTATATTCACCTTGTTGAACGGATAATTACAACCAACATTCCTTGCTTAAATTTCCTTGCAGATTTGGGTCCTATGCACATTTCTCACCAGTACAGTGCAGAAATGAAGAAGAGATCAGATT